CCGGCCTGTCAGGCTCACGTCTGTAAATACCCGGATTATGTTGGATTTGATGCATTCCTTGTTCTCAGCCAGACTGGGTTGTTGCTCTGGGACTAATTTTTCCTCCTCAAATATTTCTCCTCCTTCCTTATCAGAAGAATTTTGGCTCCCCTGAATCCTAATAGGAGAGGGTGGGTGGGGTCTGTGTACCACCATTTTTTGTGCTGCCTTAGTCAGCTAGGGCTGATGCCCTGCAACTGGCCTCCTGTCTGAGCAGTCCTCCCTGCTTCCCCATCTAAAATCCATGGGGAGGGAGGGAATATGATCTGGAGGAAGGCCTTGAACTATATCTTTTCCAGCTCCCTTATAGGGGAAGGTGCAGCCTGCTGTTGCAGGGATCGAACTTCCCCCAATATTGCATGGCAAAGCCAGCTTGCTGTCTCCAGGGGGCATTCGTAAAATGGTGATTGGGAGAAGAAGAAGAAGAAGAAGAAGAAGAGATTGGATTTATACCCCGTCCTTCACTTGGAGTCTCAGAGTGGCTTACAAACTCCTTTCCCTTCCCCTCCCCACAACAGACACCCTGTGAGGTGGGTGGGGCTGAGAGAACTCTGACACAAACGGCTCTTTTTCAAGGACAGCTGTGCCAGAGCTTGTGACTGACCCAAGGTCACAGCAGCAGCTGCATGTGGAGGAGTTGGGAATCAAACCCGGTTCTCCCAGATTAGAGTCCACACACTTAACCACTACTCCAAACTTAACCACTACACCAAACTGGAGGGGAGGCATCTGTCTTGTTCATGGTGGTGCTCCATCTCCCTGACGGCTCCACCGTGGCCATGAGCCCCAAGCCTGAGCAGCTGCCATCTTCGTTGGCATGGAGGATCTTCCTACCCAAATTGGTGGTCTTTGAGGTGTCCTCTGAGGTGTGGTCGAATTGTGCAGCATGCTCCTCTTGCATCCGCTGGTCTTCTGCCACTGGCCACTCTTCTGCAGGTCTGCGCCTGCTCAACTACACCAGGGAATAGTCCCTTCTTCCCATTTTTGGGAGGAGAAGGAAGTTCCCGTCCTCCTTGGAAATGAAGCTGCCTGAGGCTTTGTCAAAATTCTCCATGTCCTTCATTGCCTTAGGTACTCTGCCTTTGGTGAGATGGGAGGGGAGAGGAGTAGGCCAAGAGAAGGAATTGAGATACAGAATAAAGAAATGAGGAAAGTGGGTGGCTCTGCCCGGGGGACAGGAGATCTGGAAGAGTGTTAGTCTTGCCTTTTTGATGGACAGGTGGGAATTACTGAAGTCAAGATCGCCCCCACCCAAGTGAGAAACGGACCCCAGAGACTGCTGAAATTGTTTTGAGGCTTAGAACAGCATGGGGCTGAAAATGAAAGTGAAATGAGCTGCAGACATAAAGCTGCAACTCTCTTGTAAGCACAGTGCAGCGTATTGCTTTCCCTTCAAAAGGCAGTTGCCAGGAGGAAAACCTTCCTTGCCACTGATGGACCTGGGTAGGTACTTTTGAAGAACACTTTGCTTGGAAGGTCCTAGATGACCAGGAAGCTGCTGTTGACTCAGCTGCCCACCTTGGATCAGGCCCCTGTTCCCGAGACACTTTGATTTCTTTCTCTTCTCATATAAACACAATGTTGGCACTTGATGCTCTTACTCAGACAACGCTTCAGGTTCTTCGTAGTGGCGCTGTCATGCTGACGCCAGTGTGCTTTCTCTCCCACCCAAAATGGGAAGATGTATGCAGAAGAGGTTCAACTAAATTTCTTTGGGATTGGCAACAAACACCATCTTTGATGCTGATATTCAGACACCCGGGATCATTACCTATGCTCCTTGTATTTCTAAACATTGTGAACAATTCCTGGAATAAACCAACTTCTCCTCCATCCACGTCCAGAATGTAGGAGATTCTGTGCCTTCCTTGTTGCTTAGCCTCCCTATAATTCTACTGTAGTGGAGGCCTGCTTGCTCAAAGAGAGAAAGGCAACCCACTCAGTATTGATTGGCAAGGAAGAAAGGATGCTAGCTGGAGTGGATGGGCAGAGAATTCTATTATTTTGTCGTATCCATGAAAGTAGGCAACAACCGGCCTGTGTGTCAGTAGATATCAGTACTGTTGATGAAGGAAAATTTCCCCCCATCATTCGCTGTCATCTTGATGATAGCAAGTAGATAGCTATGGTTTTTGAGAGCAAACTTCTTCCATTGACCTACAACAGATTATCTCTTGCCACACAGCAGGCATTGGTTCTGAAACTATGGCTGCAGCTGTTGCCCCAAGATGTTATGCATGGTTGCACCCCACTTGGGATGTGCATTCGGATCGACCCAAGCCGAAAATCTACCTGAAAAATACCTTGCTGGTATTTTTGGTGTAGATTTCGGCATCACAAATGTATTTGAGTTTTCTCAGGAAAACCTGGGTGGGGGGGAATTCTGAGGGGGGGGGAAATCCCAGATATATTCAGGAATTACCGGGTAGGTCCGAAAGCAGTGGAGAGGGGGGAGCGTCCGCCTCTCAGCTGTTTGTCATGTTTCTACTGCAGAAGACAGCCCGAGGATCAGCTGTGCCGGTGGGGAGTGGACTGTTCCCATCGGATTGGCCTGGGGGCCGGCTTCTCATTCAGCTCGGTTTAAACTGGGCCGCAGAAGAAGCCAGCCTGAGGATCTGCTGTGATTCTGGCCTCTGCGCTGGCTGCTCCTGCAGGATCGGCTGTGCCTACGGGGAGCAGATCGTCCCCTGCCGGCTCAGCTTCGTGCTGGCTTTTCCTGCAGCCCGGTTTAAACTGGGTTGGCTTAAATTTTTAAAAAAGGTGTTTTTCTTCTCAGGTCTATTGGATATGAAAAAAATTCAGGATTTCTTGAAACCCCCGGATCGAATACTGTACCCCTAGGCTGGTTGTACCCTCGTGGCATGAGATCTCATGTGATTCCCCTGCAGTCCCCATCCCAGTTGTAGCCTCATTTCAGCCAGAGTCTTCTTGTGGTGTTGGTGGGAGCATTGGTGTGCCAGAGGATTTAGGGCAGGACAGAAACCTTCATCTGCCTGGATCTGGGCAGATAGGCACAGTTTCTCTGACTGGCTAGTGTTTTTCTTGAAACCCAGGAGATCTTTGTGCCATACCTGTGAGGTCCCACCCGTACTTTAGTCTTGACTATTTTTTTTTTGGTGCTAAAGAAGTTAGTTAAACCTAAGTGCATCATGGGAATTTTACATGGCAGACACTCAAAGTAGTGAAGAAGGCAGTGCTAAATGCCCTTGAAGACAATGTGGAACACAGCTGCCAGACTATTGTCAGGGGCGAGCTGACCGGAACATATCTTGCCTATTTGAAAGCCGCTGGATTGGTTGCCAGCGCATATGGGTTCAGTTCAAGGTCCTTTAATGCCTTTCACATCCGAAGACCCACATATCTCCCCATAAGTCCTTTGCGCCAACTACATTTGTCTGGTTGCCATGTTCTTGATGTTCCCCTGCTTAAGTAAGCTCGCTTGACGTCTACTAGAGCCCTTGCTATCTCTACAGCAACTCCCACCTGGTGGAATAAGCTCCTTGAGGAGGGGGGACACATAATCTAGCATTATTTAGGAGGCCGTTTGCAGGGGACTTCTAGTGGGATTTAATAGCCGTTTTGTTTGCAGGGGACTTCTAGTGGGATTTAAACTGTAGGTGGTGTCTTGGGAAGGGGTAATGGGGTTTATCATATGTTGTATGTTTTTGATCTTGAAATTGTAAGCCACAAGGGGAAAGCAGAGTACAAACATTTTAATAGATAAATCAACTAATAAGAACGTTTATGGTGTTTCACCTGAGAATGCAGAATAGAAATTGATGCTTAGTGCTGTTGTTTTTCGGGGTGTCCTAACATATTTTGTGCTTGTGCATAGCAAGTTCTGCCATGGGTATTTGGGTTATGTTTCTTGGACAGAATTCCTTTGCACCATGTGGCAACCCCATTTGAAACTTAAAGGGACTTTGAAGGCACTTTTGTGGCATTACACGTGAGCTCTCCCTCTGAGGTGGAGGACATCTCCATGGGTTATTCCCACCGTGCCTTTAGGGAGGCAGGAAATGTTTTTTTCCCCTTCCTGTTGGCGCCTCCGGAATAGCTCATCTCCAGTTCTATTCCTGCCTCAGTAGGGAGAAGCAGCAAACCAGCTAGGCTTAGTTGTACTTCTACCTTTTTTACACTGATTCCCTTCCAATTCTCTACTTTCCTTGCCTTATCTTTCTCTCCTTTCTTTCCCTTCCTCTCTGCTCCAACCTTGGAGCGAAGCTTCAAGGGGTCCTTGGACCCAAAGAGAAGCCCCTGATGGGCTTCCAGGAGGAGTTTTCTTCGGGCGACACCGACGAGGGAGAGGCGTGCGCTGCGGCAGCGCAGGACAACACTGGAGCCGACCAGCCTTCACGGCTTGATCGTGCACTCCCAACGCTTGTGGCTGACCCGGCGGCAGCCTGAAGAAGGAGAGCCCGCCATTTTCTCTGCATGCCTCTGGGCCGCCGGTGGCCATTTTGAGGGTTCGGCCTCCCTCTGAGGAGCCATCCCGGGAGCCACGGGTGCAGAGGGAGAGCAGATCAGCACCTCCCTGACCCTGTTCCACCCAGAGGAAGACCGGGAGTCTGGCTCACAACCGGGTAAGGCCCCTGAACAGGGGACTTTAATCCATTTTTCTGAGCTGATGGCCATGATCAAGCGTACAATCCAGCAAGAAATGGCCCAGCTTCATTCCAAACCCCAGGTTCCCTTACAGCAGGAGGCTTCCCTGCAGGGCTCCCTAACTTCTCCTCCTTTGGCCTGGCCAACCAAGGCGGCAAAAAAGGCAGAAGAGCAATGGAGGGAGGAGTTAGAGTCCTACCCGAATTGGGCAAGTTCTTATCCGAGGATGAGGAATTGAAGCTTCCTGAGCAATCCAGTAGGTTTTTTAAAGTTGAGGACTACCAGTACCTCTTATCTACGGCTGTTAAGGCTCTGGAACTGCATGACTGCATGACTTGCCTGCTTCTGAGTACCAGAAGGCAGCCAGATCTAAGTTTAAATCCAAATCTGGCGGCAACCGGGAATTCTTCCCTCCCGAGGAGGGCATGGAGAAGGTATTCCCGTTTCCAGAGTACTTCGAATGCCAGTTAAGGTTGGAAAAGAAAAAGCCTGTAGGCAACAAGCAGTTTCCCGCCTTTGCCAAAAAGTTGTATGCTATGCCTAATTATGCTGATGAGTTATTACAGGTTTCGCCCGTGGATGGTCCTGTGGCTGCATTCCAGACTGCTGGCTTAGTCTCTGAGGATGGACTCGGCAACCTCAAAGAATCAACAGACAAGAAGCTTGAGGCAACACTAAGAAGAATTCACGAGTCCATTGCCATGATGGTCAGAGCTGCGTCTACAGCTTCCATCGCTGCCAGGGCATCCATAGTATGGCTGAGGAAACTTATTCAGCTCATTCCAGAAAACAACCGCACATTGCTAGAAGGAATTTCCCACACGCTCAAGTCAGATTCCTTCACGGCTGACGCCACCATGGACATTATTTCCTTCGCTTCCAGGGGCCTGGCTTCTACGGCTGTGGCCAGGAGACACCTGTGGCTGCAGGCTTGGCAGACGGACGCCCTTTCCAAATCCATTGTTACCGCCTATCCTTTCCAGGGGGACTGTCTGTTTGGCGACGCCCTGGACAATATCCTGGTGGAGACCAGGGGTAAGAAAAAAAACCATGCCGAGATCTCTGAGACGCAAAGACAGACTGAACCCTCAGTCCTTTCGTTCCCATCATGCCCTGCCATGCTTTCATCAGGACATCAAGAAGATTTCCTGGGGCATGACCAAGCAGTCCAGCAAGCGTGGTTCCTTCAATCCTAGATTCCACAGGACTCAGTTCAACAGGAACGATAGAGGAGACAGAGAGTTGCCAAGTCAAAGCAGAATTGACTATGCCACGCTCCTGGTGGGGGCACAACTTCTTCACTTTGCCAGGACTTGGTCAGAAGCACAGGCGGATGCCTGGGCAGTGGAAGTCGTATCTCAGGGATATTCAGTAGAATTTCTTCGGCAACCTCCAGAGAGGTTCCTGATATCGCCTGCAAGCAAATCGGTGAACAAGAGATCCATTGTCGACATGGCCATACAACATCTTTTAAGCATCAGGGCCATCGAGCCAGTCCTGTTATGTGAAAGAGGCTGGGGAGTTTTCTCTATATTGTTCATGGTTCCCAAAAAGAACAGAGACTGGAGGGCGATTCTGGATCTCAAATTTTTAAACAAATTCATCCGTCTACGCCATTTCCGCATGGAAACCCTCAGAGCAGTAGCGGACTCACTATCTCCCAACGAGTTCCTGACATCCATAGATATAACAGAAGCGTATCTACATGTCCTGATCCACTCTGCTCACAAGAAGTACCTTCGTTTTTGCATCTATGGTCAAGATTTCCAATACCGAGCCCTCCCCTTTGGTCTCTCCATGGCGCCCAGGCTGTTCACCAAGCTGATTGTCAACCCAGTGAGTCATCTCAGAGACCAGGGGATCCATGTGCATCTGTACTTGGACGATTTGTTGGTTCGGGCGAGCACGCACCAGGAATCCGTTCACAATACAGAAAGGACAATCCAATGTCTGCACAGTCACGGATTTTTAATAAACCGTGAAAAGAGTTCTCTAACTCTGAGTCAGCAAGTCGAACGTCTGGGTGCGGTGATCGACACCACGCATTCCGCTCTGTTCCTTCCAGGGTCCAAGGCGCAGAAGATCAAGACCATCGCTACATGAGTCTTCCGCAGCAAGTTCTCCCCCTTGATGGAGTTAGCCAGTCTCCTGGGTCTCATGATAGCCAGCATCGACATGATCCAATGGGGCCGCCATGCACGCAAGATCCCTGCAAATGTTCCTCTGTCCTCATCAGCTAAGCATCATTCAAAGGAAGACGATCAATCTACAGGTTCCCCTCAGGGTCAAAGAAAGCTTACGGTGGTGGACAGACATAAACAACCTGACAACCGGGAAGTCATACTATGTTTGTCACACCATGGAACTTTTCACAGACGGCAGCCTTCTGGGCGTCTGTCACACCAAGGAGCTGTTCACCGACGCCAGCCTCCAGGGCTGGGGGGCGACGCTAGAGGGAGTCCCAGTCGAAGGGACTTGGTTGCCAACCGAGAGGTCTCTTCCAATAAATCTGCTGGAGATAAGGGCTATCCGCTTGGCTTTGGTCCACTTCGCTTCCCGTCTGCGGGGCCAACATGTCTTGGTGAGAACGGACAACATCTCTGCCAAGGCTCCTCTCAACAAGCAGGGCAGCTCACGATCCTGCCAACTGCACAAGGAGGCAATGAAGATTCTATTCTGGGCAGAGAGGAGTGTTGCGTCCTTGAGGGCGGAACACATAAGAGGGATCGAGAACGTCCAGGCCGACTGGCTCAGCAGGGAGACATTACCGGAGGGAGAATGGGTCCTCCATCCAAATCTCTCCGACAGGCTAGTGATCCATTTTGGGCAACCAATACTGGACTTATTCACGTCACCAATGAACCGCAAGTTACCGAGATTTCTCACCAGATATTTCCACCAGGAAGCAGAGGCGACGGATGCTCTCACGTCGAAATGGCCTCCGGGTCTGCTGTACGCATTCCCGCCATTCATCCCGATCTCCAGGACTCAGAATCAGGGAGCTCAGAGCAGAGGTCATATTTGTAGCTCTGAGATGGACATGACATCTATGGTTTTCAGCACTGCAGAAGATGTCAATTCTTCCGCCCTTGGTACTACCAGTGTCTCCAGACATGCTCTCGCAGGGACCAGTGTGGCATCCGGATCCGGCCTGGTTATGTCTGACCGCGTGGAGATTGAGCGGGGCAGTCTAGCAGAGTTAGGATATTCCACTCAGGTCATGGACACCATCATGACTTCCAGACGGAAATCCACGATTCGCATATATAGCACCACCTGGAAGGCGTTCGTGAGATGGTACAGACGGAAAAAGGTGGCTCCTCTGTCTCCTCCTGTAGCATCTCTTCTTTCGTTCCTACAGGAGGGCTTGGATGCAGGTCTTCAAGGTTCCACTCTCCGCAGACAGCTGGCGGCTTTATACATGGTTCTACCTTCATTAGAGGGTTTCAAGATTACCAACCATCCTCATATTCAATTGTTCCTGCAGGGGGCCATGGCCAAATCAACTGCACAGATGCATCGTTTTCCAACGTGGAGGTTGAACATTGTGCTTGATGCTCTCACGAAAGCACCATTTGAACCTCTCAGAGAGGTGGGACTGAAATGGCTGAGGATTAAAACTCTGTTTCTCGTTGCCATCACCTCGGCAAGGAGAATTTCTGAACTTGGAGCATTGTCAGTAAAGTTCATCCTTCTGTGTGTTCCACAAGGACAAAGTAGTGCTCTGCACGGACTCTATGTTCCAGCCCAGGATAGACTCCAGATTTCACCGATCACAGGAAATATGCTTGCCCACCTTTTGTCCTCATCCTAAGCATCCCAAGGAGCATCTCTGGCATACCTTAGATGTTAAAAGAGCTCTCAAAATTTACATTGCAAGGACAGAGTCGTGGAGAAAGACTGAGTCTATGTTCATTGGCATTTCCTCTCCGCGCAAAGGGGAAAAGTTGTCTAGGTCTACGATCAGTTCGGTCCTGAAGTCCTGCATCGTAGAGGTTTACCGGACTTCGGGACACGAGGTTCCCAGCAGCATCACGGCACATTCGCTGAGAAGTGCGGCGACCAATGCAGCCCTTTATAACAGACCTTCGGTGGAGGAAGTCTGTAGAGTGGCTACATGGTCCTCCATCTCTACCTTTATAAGGCACTACAAGATCAACACAGTGGCATCTGAAGATGCAGCATTCGGGAGAAGAGTGCTTCAGCATGTCATGGCATTGGAGGAAGATGACGACCCACCCGAATGAGGGACACTGCTTGGGGAGGTCCCATGGAGATGTCCTCCACCTGAGAGGGAGAACGACCATTGGACACTTACCGTGAAGGGTCCTTCTCCTCTGAGGACAGGAGGACATCTCGGCCCTCCCACTGCCATCTTTGTCTGTTTCTATTTTCTCTGTGCTGATTTCTTCTCTCATTACCTGTTGCTCATACTCTGGGTGTTCTAACCCTGCAGAGTTGGGTTGTTACATGTTGAAGTTACGTTTCAAGTTATATTTTACAGGGCAAGGCCAGTTATTCAGGCTGCAAGCACTGCTTTTGGAGTCCCAGAACTGGAGATGGGCTATTCCAGAGGCACCAACAGGAAGGGGAAAAAACCATCACCTGCCTCCCTGAAGGCACGGTGGGAATAACCCATGGAGATGTCCTCCTGTCCTCAGAGGAGAAGGACCCTTCATGGTAAGTGTCCAATGGTCGTTTTCAAAGGGTTACCTTGCACAGTGTATGCCGAGACCAATCCATTGGACATGGGCAAAGGTAGTGCTTTGGATCTTTGTCAGAATAGTTCTGTAGTGTCTCCACTGACACTGACTATATGCTGACTGCTTCTAGTGTACCCTTATGCTCAGAGCAGCATTTTGAACTGGTTCAATAAGAGCTGTGTTTATTATTCACTTATTCGAAGAATGTCTTTTTGACTGTTTACGGTGAAACCTTATTTATCTGTTTCGTGAAAGCTGAGTTCTTCACAAGTTTGACTTTTGAATCAAGTTTTCTTCCTATGTTAGGAATGTGGGTTATCTCTCACCGGTTAGAACTCTGTAATGCCAAAATCAAAACTGTATGACCAGGACTGTCAAATTGTTGGAATGTAATAGATTAAGGATATCCTGCCAACCAAGCAGTCCGAAAGCCCCTCGGGGCAATTAGGTAAATGGGTACCTGTCCGTAGGAGGACAGGGGGGTACCCCTCCCTCGAAATTGGGCTCCAGCCGAGCAAGGAATCGAGACGCGGCGGCGACATGGCAGCGGTACGGAGGAAATGAAGAGAGGCAGCGACATCCCAAGGAGGCGGTTGGCTCGGCAGCTGATGACGTGGCCAGCAGGAGGACGGCCGGAGCTGCAAGGACATTGTGACGCCCACTGCGGCTGCGCACCAGGGCCCATAACCAACAGCCCCCGAGAGGAGTCGCCAGAGAGCCGAAAAAGAACAGCAGAGGCCGAGGAAGACACACCGGAGAAAAACTGGAAGGAGTCGCCCACTCGCTGGATAAACGAACGATCGGAGCCGGGAGGGTACCTGGTAGGGCTCCCCCCACCCCAGACACGTACTGTGGCCATAGTTAGGGTTTCTGCATAGGTCTCTGCACCATGCACGGTGTAAGCCGCTCAGAGCCCTTCGGGGGTGAGCGGGGTACAAATGGAAAGTATAAATAAATAAAATAAACACAGTTTGTGTAATTGTTTATTCAACCTAGTAGAACTAGTATGCTTCACTGGTGTGCGAGATGAAATTGTCTTAAATAAAAGGAAGGTGTGGATTTAGTTTATTCAAAATGCAGTCTGTCTGAATGAAACTTTTTACAGCTTTTAAATCATGAAACTTTAACAACTTTTAATCACAATAAATTTATTTATTTATTTAAATTTATAACTCGCCCTCCCCGCGAACGGGCTCAGGGCGGCGTACAGATGGGGCCAATGCCCAATACATAAAACATTAAAACTGCATTTTAAAAACATTTAGACAACATAAGTGCTCCACAACAACTAACAAGGGAACAGATGACGTCATCAGGATGGTAAATATTGAATGAAAACATGTATGGTGATGACATTTGCTTTATTTAAATAGAACATATCCAAAAGTTTATTTTTACATACAAGTTCTCCAGCGTCCACTTCGACGTGCGCTCCCCTTGTCACCCAAGGAATATCAAGTCAGTAATCTCTCCCCCCCCCCCGTTTGCCCAAGCATGCTTTGCATCTACTGTTGCAACAGTATCAGTGATCTTCCCTTGTAGCCTGCGGTCACCTGGAACATTAAAACACTTTGCTGCAATAAGATTTCTGAGTTACTTTGCCATTTTGCAAAAACAGCTTTGTGTTAAGTGACACACACACACACCCTTTCGGAAACTGTCCTTAATTAAAGCTATAAAGGTTTTGTGCGGAGTGTGGACACCCTGTTCTACAGCAGCTGAATAGCTGTTGGAGAAGCAGAAAGGGGATCCCTAGATTCAAGAGAAGGTGGATGCAGGTTTGGATGGGGAGCGGAGCTGTAGAAGTACCTTCTCTTGGCTAGTCGTCAGCTGCTAGAGTCACTTCTGTGAAAAGTAGAGCAACTGAAGTCGACCGCAGCTTTGGGTCTTTTCCCTTTAAAACAAAGTTAAGCTAAGGTGCTGCTCGTCTTTCTCAACACGATTCTTCAGCTCTAGGGTAATGGCAATCGTTTTTGCATGAGGGTTTGCGTGGATGGGAGGGATTGACCAGTTTGGGCTGGTGATTCATAGCATTTTAAATCGTCCTGGGCCCTGTCACTGACATCACTCACGTGGCATCGTCACCATACATGATCATCTTCAGCGTAACAAAGGACGTGTCCCTGACCTGGCAAGCTTAGAAGCCCAATTTTAGTGGGAAAAGATGAGGGGTCTTTTTGAGGGCGTAGGCAAGGGTTAATGAGTGAGAGAGTAATACAGTTATATGGACTTGTGGGAGTTTTTCACTTGGGAATTAGGACTAAGGAGAAGTCAGAGGCTTCATGGGAAAAGTTAGTTTTGAGGCTAGAGAGGGCCGTGGTGGCTTAGAGGTTAAGACGCTGAGCTGCAAGATTGTAAGGTCTGTAGTTCGTCAGTTCGAGACTCTAGGTACCGCTTCGGTTGGAAGGTAACAGTGTTCCGTGCGCCTCGGCGTTTAGTCATGCCGGCCACATGACCACGGAGAAGTCTTTGGACAGCGCTGGCTCTTCGGCTTGGACACAGAGATGAGCCCCGCCCCCTAGAATCGGATTCAACTAGCTTTCGAGCAAGGGAAACCTTTACCTTAACTGTTGTGAGAGCGAGTTCCGGTCATCAACAGGCAGCAAAGCAGGCCAACTCGTGCCAAATTCAACGTTTGGGTGGCTGAGGACGGCAGAGTTGGAAGATCAAAGACCGTGCCAGATTCAGGTCCAGTACAACACCTTAGAGACTACAGGACTTCTGGGATACGAGCTTCCAAAAGCCAAAGCTCCTTTCGTCAGATATATAATCTGACACGGGGAGCTCTGAATCTTGAAAGCTCATACCCTGTAAATCTTGTTGGTGTCTTTTTTCCTGGTCTCGGATCCGGCTGCTCTACTGCATTCCAACACGGCCGCCCTCTGAAATTATAGAAGCCGGGATTTACCTGGCAGTAAGGGTGGAAACCTAGCGTGGAGGTGAGGCTGTGGGGGTGTGAAGGTTTTGCACGGGATGCGGAAGGTGACGGCAGTGGAAGGAGCTGAGAAGGAGAGTTGCATATTCCAGGCATTGGCAGCAGAGTTCTGCGGAGAGCTGAGAGGGTGGAAGTTTTGTTAGCCAAGGTGGGTAGGGATCAGTCTGAACAGGGATGATGAGTACTGAATGTCTTTTCACAGTAGTATCTGGAAGAGTAACATAACGACAGGTAGATTTTTTCCTCGTTCCTGGTATCTGACTCTTGAAAACTTGTAACCCAAATATCTTGTTCGTCTCTAAGGTGCTACTGGACTCAAATCTAGGTCTCCTACTGCAGACCAACACGGCCACCCTCTGAAACTCTCTCCTTGATCTTTGCTACACTTATTCAAAGCTGAAGCAGAGGATTGTTGCTCGTTTAGCAGGGTGGATGGTCAGTGGATATAGTCTAGGAGGAAGCCCTTTTCGAGAAACCATGGGCACTTTGTTCTTGGACGTTAAGAGTAGAGATATAAAATTTCCGAAAATTTTGAAGCTCGGAAAAAACCCCAGGTTTTTTCCGGGTTTTTTCGGGGGAAAATGGAAATTTTCGGAAAAATTGAAAAAAATGCTACATTAGCATTTCTTTTGTCTTTTCTAGTTTGAAAGTCATTCTGTTACTTTAGGAACATAAAATATGACTATGGACATTTTTACTTGGCATGAAATTATCACAACTAGCATATTAAAAATATAGTGTATCCAAACAATTATTACAGAATACCCACCCACATGCAAAAACAAAACTGAAACTTTTTTATTTTCTTCTGACAATCGCACCTCCTAAAGGAAGAAATGCATCTTGTTCTTGCATTGGAGAGTTCAGTTTGTAACCTAGGACTTGCTTGTCCTCAGTGCACAGAAATTAGATCCATCTGAGACCATATATATATATTTTAGAAATGATTTGGAAAATATTTGAACACCTTGTCTTAAAATATTTTATTCATCATGTTAAAAAAGAACGTTCCATAATCAATTTTTTTCTTTTCTTTTTTCAATTTTTCCAATTTTTCAGAAAAAAATAAAGGCTTCAGGAAAAAAACGGAAAAAAAAACATTTTTTCCCCGAATTTTTCTGGGTGTTTTCCGGGCCTTCACATCTCTAGTTAAGAGTTAGTACAACAGGGAGACAGGCACTCAGAGAAGAAATCCTGGGTGGAGAAACATCTTGATTGTGCTTCATCAGTGTATTGGTGGTACAGAAATTTATGGAGTTTGTTGAGATGGCTTGGGGGCAGGGTGTAGAGAGAAGAGCTGGGGGCCAAGAACCGAACCTTTAGAAACTGCTCCCTCTCCAGTAATGCTAGTTCTCAAGAGCATCTAATAAATTCGATGGGCAGAATCTAATAAATCTAATAAATCTAATAAATTCGATGGGCAGAAGAATCAGGACAGACAAAGGGAAGTGCTCCCTTATTCAGAGAGTAATGAATTGATAGAATTCCCTACCATAAGATGTAGTGATGAGCACCAGTTTGGAAGGGACGAAAGAGATTCATGGGAGATAAGTCCACCAGTGGCTCAACGGAACCTCTGTGTTCAGAAATAGTAACCCTGCATACTCATGCTTGGGGGCCTTTGCCTCCGTGCCCTTCTCGTAGGCCTTCTGAAGGGATCTGGGTGGCGACTGAATGTAGGATGCCAGGCTAGATGGACAGGGAATCAACATGTGACTAGCACTACGATAAATTGTAAACCGCCCAGAGACCCCCATGAGGGGGTTAGGGCGGTATAGAAATCGAATGTAAATTTAAAAAAATTAAAATAAAAAAAACAGTTGGTCTGATTCAGCACAGCTGTTCTTACGAGGGGGGCTGCTAAGGAGGAGCTTTACCCCAGGCAAAACATTGAACACACAGTTCCGAGGAGTCCCAAGTGAGAATAGTGTGTCAGAAACCTTAAGGTGTAAAGGAAGTCACGAGGAGTAGACAAGTCAACTGTATCAAAGACAGCAGAGAGGAAAAGGGCATGGTGCAGAGCTTTAGATCTGGCAGTTGTTGTTGTTGTTGTTGTTCAGTCGCACAGTCGAGTCCGACTCTTCGTGACCCCATGGACCAGATCCCGCCAGGCCTTCCTGTCTTCCGCCGTCCTCTGAAGTTTGCTCCATTTCATGTTCGTTGCATCTATGACACTGTCTAACCATCTCATCTTTCGCCATCACCGTCTTCTTTGACCGTCAATCTTTCCCAGCATCAGGGTCTTCTCCAGGGAGTGCTCCCTTCTCATTGGGTGGCCAAAGTCTTTGAGCTTCAGCTTCATCATCTGGCCTTCCAGGGAACAGTCAGGGTTGATTTCTTTTAGGATTGACTGATTTGTTCTTCTTGCAGTCCAAGGTACTGGCAGTAACAATTGTAATTTCAACAAGGTTTATTCCAGCACAGAGGAGAGAAGTTGGTTTATAGGAGGTCAAGGTAGGTGTTGGAGTTTACAAGTCAAGTCCTCAGGAGTGAGCAAGTTCAGTTTGGAATTTGGAGGAGGAAGTGTCGCTTGAATTACGGGTGGGGAGCCGGATGTGTCAAAATAGAACACGGGTGATAGGGAGATGTTTGAATGCAACAGGGAAAGGGAACCGGAGGGGAATGGAGTTGATACAGGGAAAGGTCGATAAGTGCTGATTCCACCGTTCTGCTCAAGACCTTTCTCCTTCCCATAGCTAATGTATTTTTGCTTCCTCCCCTCAGATAGCATTGGGAAAGTCTTGCGTTATCTTAAAAGTGATATCCAGTTAAATATTCTAGGTATTTTTAATACTCTTTGCTTTATTCCTGCCCCCCCCCCCCCTTTTTTTTTTTGCATATTTCATC